TGCTTGTTGATTTCCCAGCACACCATGCAGGCTGTGGGGACAAGAGGCCAGAGGCCAAAGGACCAGGAGGCCCCAGCAGGACGTTTCCTAGCAGTGCATCCTCAGTGCTGTGATAAATGGAGGGAGTAGGGAAGCAGGGGCGGGGGAATCGCCAAGGTCCAAGCAGGCACCCAGCAGCTGGGTTGGTGGGGTAGTTGTCCATCCCCTTTCTCCATCCAGGAAACTCTCCATTTCCTTGCTGGTTTTCTCCCCCTCGCTTGTCCATCCTGCTCCCCTCCCCCCAAAGCAGAGGAGCTGTCTCAGAGTCGATGCCTCTCATGGGCCATCTCCTTCCAGCTTTGGATCTAGGACATTTCAGATCTAGGAAGATATGCCATCAGAAGTCCACCCCGTCCCTTTCTCTCAAGATCATAGGAAAATGTCAAGGGACATGCATTCTGGGAACAGACCTTTGGACAGCCTGTCCCTCAGATGCTCTGTCCCTCAGCCTTTGTTTCCTGCACAGTACAGCGAAGTGGAAATTTTCCAATTCTGTCACAGGACAGAGTTCTGGTATTCTTCTGTCAGTTCTCACCCTTACACTTCTTTCTCCCTGGTCTAGTCTTTTCGTTATTTATCTGTTCAGCAATTTACTTCTATTAACACTTGTCCGACAGATAGGAAAAGAAGTTCTCTTGTTAACAAGTAGGTTTTCTGGGAAGGCTCTTTTCTCAGCTTGGGAAACTGAGATTATGTCCATGAAGAATTCTGACTAAAGTAAAAGCCTAAGAACAGGTCCAAGTCCACCAGTTCCAAGTCCGTGGTCTCTTAATCCTGCCTGTGGAGACTGAAAGGCTTGTGGACATAACCACTGAGATACTCTGTCCTGCTCAGTGCTGTGTCTGGAATGTTTAACTTGGAATAACTCCTCACTGACCTGGAGTGCTGTCTCTACTGCTTTTAGAAATCTGAAACTGTACTCACCAGATGCATTAAACATGTGCTCCAATGGCATATATACCTGTTTGTCAGGAGCATGGGGGGAAATTTTTATCTACACTCCCCCTGCTCACTGGGCCCAACCCTCAAAGGGTCTTAAGCCATGAACAGCTGCTCAGTGGCACAGAGCTGAAGGTTTTTTCAACCAGGAAAGTCCAGGTTGTGACCTGGGGGTTGCAGTAAGGGCTGAACCTAACAATGCAAAAAATGCATTAGACTTTCCTCCCTTGTGCCCATGTAAAAACCAAGCCAATATCTGATGTCCTATCACTGCCTCCTCTGCCTTGGGCTCCAGAAGTTTCCTAAAAGAAACCCAACTTTACATCTCTGTCACATGCCAGGTTATCTCAGAGACCACTTCCCCAAAATGGTGTTCTCACAGATTTCACTCTGGCAACCAGTTATCATCCTGGCAGCATGAATACTACCTTAGGAGAGGGAACTGACTGGGCTGAAGGCAAGGCTGCTCAGCTCAGCCTTTACTGAGCAGTGACTGGAGCCAGGCCCAGGGTAATGTGCTCCAAGACCAAAAGGACCACATGACATCTTAACTTCAAGAGTAAATTATGCCAAACCTCTGAATCCTCTGTGTTTGATCTGCCTCTCCCCACTCCAACATATCACTTCACAATGAATTAAATGGCACTGGAAAGACGATTTGTGGCCAAATCTTGAGTCCAACAAGTAGACATTAGCAGAGTTCCTGCTCTCTCTAGGCCAACAGAAGATCCCCTTAGAGATGTTCTCCCGAAAAGGCTGGGTCACTGACTTAAATTTCTACTAAAACAGGTCAACAAGTTAACCCTGGGGAATTCTAGCTACAGGAAAGACAAATGTGGTACCTGAAAGAATTCTGCTGAGAATACTGTTACTGAACTGATAAAAACTCAGATAGTTTGAACTCAAGGAATGACCACAGTAAATAGGAAAAGAACTCTCATATCCAATTTCCTTTTTTTATTCTAAATAAAAACCACACTTTGTGCCGAACAATGGAATATAAAAGAATCAGATGTACAACGATTTTAGACATCTACTATTTGGGGGGAAAAGTTTACAAAATATACAAAACTTTACAGCAATAGATAGTAAACACTTAAATATTAGGAGGTCAGTACTTATTAATTTAATGGAAGGAGTTAGACGACAACAACTCTTCTCCATTTCATATGAGACTTTAGCTAGCAGAGGTGGGAGGGAAGGGTAGACTGAACAAGGGAAGGGTGTCAAAGAAACATTAAAATCCAAACAGTTTTATTTTCATCCTGATGTTTACGAATGATAACCACACTGAAACTAATGCTGTGTGCCCTGCTTCCTGTCTACATTCAGTGCAGGATTTAAAAAAAAAGACATGTAGAGACTCCCAAATGGGCACAGATTTCTCCACAGAGTCTACTCCCATGCCAACAAAATCAGTGTCCATCTATAAAGGTATTTAAATTCACTTCCACAGTTGAGTAGTCTGGAGAAATAGGGCACAGTAGGTAGCCAGAGAGGAAGAAAATTCATCAGTAGCAAAACCTGACTGGGGAGAAGGTATCTAAACCCAAGGCTTGCCCGTGAGACAAAAGGGTACTTATTGACAGATCAGAAAAGGAGTCAAAAAGCACTTTTACCCATTTTCTGGTTCTTAGGGCTTACCTGGGCCAGATCCCCACCCCTACCTCCTTTCTTCCCAACTAGCCATTAACTATAGAGACTCTGTGGAATCTTAAAATTTAGGACCAAATACGAGGGTAAAGCAGAGCTTCCCAGCGCGTGCTGGGACATCAGTGAGCCATCAGTGGGTCACAGGAGAGCAAGATACTGATTCCCTCCACTGGCCACAAGCAGCCTCTGCTGTTTATCCCAGTGTGCCATACAAATATCACCCTTTTCCCTTAGAAAACAGGTTGGAAATAGACTTGTGCTTAGTTTAATGCTCTACAGTCACCAACTTGAATTCTTAAATTTTTAAACAAAGGGTTCTGCCAATTACATAGCTGGTCTGGAGTATAGAACAAGAAAAAGGAGGAAAAGAGAGAAAAGACATTCAAGGGTCAAACAGAACCTCGAAACAATACAGCAGGAGACAATGCTAACCTGGGCTCCAGGGCAGAGGGTGCAACGAAATCATGAGAAGGTTGAAAAAATAAACTCAAAACAAATACGGCTGAAAAAATAAAAAACTCAAAACAAATACTTTCCACCAGGTATCCTAGGTGCCCTTTGCCACAATATAGTGTTTCAAGTAAAACAGTACAGAAAAGGGTGAGCTAGAGGCAGAGGCATTAAACATGACTCTAAACAGAGGGAAGGTTCAGGTATGAATATGGGGGACGCGTGGAGGAACAGGGTGTGGTCAATCAGCCTCGAGAGCTACTGACCCTGCTACATACATGTCTCACTGTAATCAACTGGGCCACCCTGATCAACCACTTGGCCTCAGGAGGATCAGAGGTGCAGTTTTTTTTAGTGTTTTGGGGACAAAGTTTCAAGGGTTTGCTTTTTTGGTTTACTGGCAAAAAGGGAATACTTCACAGTTTCAGGTTAAGTATACAGACTACCCAGCATCCATGATGCCCTCTGTTAAGGAAAAGGGTTTCTCCAGCATATTGATCCGTTCTCAGCTACCTGCTGGGTTCTAGTAAGTACCACTTCTCTCAAATCCAGCCATTCGAAAATCAGTCCTCACCAACAGTCTGGGAGGGGTCACTCAGGCTTGAAAAGCTTAGCAGACACTTGATGGTAGCCTTTTACACATTTTCCTTCTTAAATTTCTAATGGTCAGTGTGAGAGAGAAAGGGAGAAGACAGTGAGGGGTGAAAACTTGCAACACTGCTTCCCTGACAAGAATGTCGCGAGGAAACATTTACCAAGTTGTGTTTAGATGGTGAAAGGTGGCCACTTGTACAAGTCCCTTATGTAATGGTCACCCCACCAGAAAGCCATACAGGCCAACTTGGAGGCCTTATCAACTTAGGGCTAGGGAGAAAGGCAGGAGGTCCAATAGGGACAGAGCTTTGGTTTGCCTTAGTTTTAATATAGCTTTCCAAGTTTAGGAAGGATGAGAAAATGTGCAAAAAGGTCTTTCATGTGACTTGATTCCCCTCATCTCAGTCCCCAATCTACTCCATCACAGATGGAAAGAGGGTGAAAGGCCTAGGAAATCAACAGGCTCCAACTTTCTAGAAATTACATCCATTGCCTAAAGGGTTCCCTGGGTTTATTCTGCAAGAGACTGCCTGGAGAGAAAGAAAAGAATTTGCTTGTTTAAAGGCTTGGCCCATTCTCCCCCAATTCTAGCCTATTTCCCAAATCTCTGGCCAGGACTGTCCCCTGAAATATGGCTCCTTGCTGGGAAGAAACTCATTTTCCTGAAGTCTCTTATCCAAATGAGATGCTGGGTAATATGTATACAAAAATAAAAATAAATAAATATTAACATCCAAAAAGGCTTTGTGAGTTAATTAAAACCACTTGCTGTGAAACAGCCCAGGGTGCTGCTAAGTCCCACCAGGGGCAGTGTCAGGGCGGAGGCCAAGGACTCCCAGAGCTTGTCTGAGCAGGTGAGGTAGTATGAGTTACTGAGGTGCCACCTAGTGAGTACAAGAGATTGAGGGCCCTCTCCCTCAAGCCTTCTTTGGGCAAGACGCCCTTAGAAGCCAACTAAGAACAAAGCCAACCAGCCTCATGGGCTCAGCAGACACATTTCCCAGCCCCCTAGGGAGGGTCTGAGCCAGCTGCCAACCTATAGCACCCCTTGGCAGCAATGCAAAGACAGATTGGGATAAATTCCAGCAGGTCAAAGGTGAGTTGCCAAAGCTCCTGCCCAGTTGCACAAAGTAAACAGGTTACCCAACTGGGACAGACGGAACACACATCTCGTTATACGCCACCACTTATTTGGTCCCTGTAGGGCTCAAAGTCCACCACTCCACCACCTCATGGGGGTCTTCACATCTATACTACAAGCCAAATACACTTCTAGGTGGGAGACTGCATGTAAATTAAGGCAAGGCTGCTGCTGTCAGAGATATCCTCACCTCTCCACCAGGAAACTCAAGGTCGATGGAGGTGGCCAGATAACAGATGACTATGTCAAAGTGGCTCCCTGTCCCCTTTGCCCCACAGGGAAGGCCTGATGTCCTGGGCCATCGCTCCATAAAACCATGTTTCTCTGGAATTGAGGAGAAAAAAGAAAGCTCCATTTCTGTCCAGCCAGGCTGTTACTACTGACAGCACCGCAGGACCTCTTCTGGCTGGCAAGGATTCATCCCAAAGCTTTCTGACCTAAATAAAAAGCTTAGTCCCCAGTTTGGATCTAACTACCAAAAGATTTTACTGTCCAATCAGCAGATTACAGCCATGAAACAAGAAGGCACCTCCACCCCTGACGCCTTTTCCCTGCTGAGGGCTGGGCCTGGAACCTGAGGTGAGCTGCCCCGCTGACTGGTCCTTTCTGAATGACCATTCCAAAATCTCTCTCATAGCTGGTTGTCCCAGTTGGAGGTCTGGCAGTAAAACCCACAGTGAAAACCTCCCTCCACCTCCTCTATTTAGTGAGGCTGTTGGTTGGATTCTTAGCAGCATAAAACCTATCAGTAAACTAAAACTCGAGAGGCTAGGGAAGGGGATCTAGTTGGCACCAACTGCCTGACAAGATCCCAAGACCAGCCTCAAAAGAACCAAAAACACAGCCCTTCATGGGCAAGAACAGGTAAGGAGGTAAACGTGATAGGGCCGTTGCTTCTCAGAAACAGTAACAGCTCATGTGCTATTTCTTCTTTTTTCTTCTTTAAACACAAGACAGAATTCCTAGCAAGGCAAAATTGTAACTTCGGCTGGGGAGGGACCAACGGCCATTAAAAATTCACATCCTGGCTGCTGTGTGGGAGCTCCCCCTGGCTCTGCTGGGACCCAGTCAGCTGTCCGGGTTCTTTTCTGCCTCTTTGGAATGGATAATGTACATGAAGGTCTGCTCAATGGTGAAGTCGGGCGGAAGGCTGCCTTTGTGTACACCAACGTGCTTGCTCATGAGGTTAAGGGTGGAGCTATAGTGGCCACAGACTGTGCAGCGGTACATGAGGGCCCCCGAGTGTGTCTTCAGGTGGCACTTGATGGTTGAGCGGCCTCGAAAGAACTTGTGGCACACCTTACATTGGTACGGCTTCTCGCCTGTGTGGATCCGCCGGTGGTAGTTGAACTCGCTTGTGTGGGCAAATCTTTTGCCACAGACCTTGCAGCTATACTTGCTGTTCCCAGGTTGGCCCTGCAGAGCCAGCTCCTCACTCAGGAACTCCTCCGCTGGCAGCTTCCGCTTCTGGAGCACTGGGTGCTGTAGCCCAAAACCAGGCCGCGAGTCAAGGCCACTATTGCATTTGTGCTGGCTGACGTGGTAGCGATAGGCAGCCTCCGACTTGAAGCTCTGGTTGCACAAGTGGCAGCGGAAGAGGGTGTCTTCCAGGCTTTGGTGCACAGCCATGTGCTTCTCTAGGAGATGCCAGTCCACAAAGCTGTTCGCACAGACAGAACAGGAGAAGACTGAAATGCCAAGATGGGAGAGCGTGTGCCACATGAGGCTGCAGAGGTTGAGGTGACGCTGGTCACAGACACTGCAGGCCTGGCCCTTCAAGTTTAGATGGTCAAGGATGTGGCCCCGGACCACGTGGAAATCTTTGGCCAATGCCTTCCCACAGGCAGCACATTTCAACTCTGTGAAGGCTGCCCCTGAAAACAGACCCAGCTTCCCAGGCAGGGGATCATTGGGGTGGACAATGATGTTGTTCTCAAATATTCCATCCCGTCGGTGGAGGGTCAACTGCCACTGGGTAAAGAATTTAGTTTCACACATGTCACAGGAGAAGAGGAAAATACCAATGTGGGAAAGAACATGGGTCACACGGGAGTTTCGGTCTTGGAAGTGGGTCTCACAGACTTTGCAGTTGCCTGTCAGCAGGTCCACATGGTCCCGGGCATGCTGTCGGATCAGTTGAATGTTGGGCTCTAGAACTTTCTTGCACACCTGGCAAGGCATGGCCTTATTCTCTCGGTTGTCATTCTCTCCAAAAGTCAGCTCATCTTCACTGTCGTCACTCAACTCAATCACCTCCTCAGCTGTGCCTATCTCCTCGGTGGGGTCTTCAAACTGCAAGTCATCATCCCCCAGATCCTCCAGCTGGAGCTCATCCATCTGCCCAAAGCCTGGATCTTTGGTGTGGTCACTATTGCTCAGACAGGAGTTGGTCCCAGTGGTAATGTCTATTGCACTGTCAGCGGGGAAGAAGCTGTTTTTACTGAAGTCTCCGTTGCTCTGAACTTTGTATGGCTGACAGGAGCTTGTGCTGGTTTGAATGCCCATGCTAACAGTGCCTAGGACTGGCTGAGTCACCATACTAGGTACAGACGTGAAAGGAGCAGGGGTATCGTGGTCTTCTGTCTTTGGTGGCAGTGACTGCTGAGGCAGAGGCAGGCTATGGTTAGTGTCACTGGTAACATTTCTCTCCTCCTCCTTATAGCTTCCTCCAGTATCACTAGGAAAGACATAGTTTTTATCAGGACCAAAGTGCTCCCCACCACCCCGGAGTTCTCCGAGGGGATGGACAGGTTCTACTGAGCTACAACTCAGGGTGCCGGAATGGCTCTCACTAGTGTTGGTCAGGGGCTTGGCCACAGCAGTGCTCTCCAGGTCAGGAAAGGTGGAATGACAGGCCCGGAGGAGGTCCTCCATACCTAGACGCTCAGCTACCTCATAGATGACCCCAACATTGATCAGGTCCGTGAAGAGCTCTGATGTGTAGACAAAGCTCAGAATCTTCTCAAAGTTGGCAGGGGTGATGAAGTCCACCACATAGGTCCTGGCAGCATCTAGCCCAGTATTCAGAAAGAGGTTCTGGAAATAGCCAGCTGCGCAGGCCAGCACAGCTTTGTGGGCCGGGAAGGAGCGGCTCCCCACCACAATGGTGACATCGCACATGGTCTCTGAGAGCCGGCACTTATTGAGTTCCTTCAGCAGGTTGTTAGGGTGGTTGGTGCTTTGCAGTTTGATCCTCATGCCCATCTTAGCAGCTCCTATGAAGTTGCCTCCTTATCAGCACAGTTAATCTGTAGACAGCAAAAGGAAAAGATGGATGGCCAAACACATCCCTGCAAAATGAGGCACTCTCCAAGAGGAAATACCACCGGTCTGAGTGTTTCTGAGTCTCAGGTGGGGGCAGGAGTGACTAGATATGGAGAACCAGGGGAAAAGACAGCAAAAATGATGGGACAACGACCTCTCTCCCTGCCTATACCCAAATACAGAGTTATGAAAAAACCGAAAAGTATTGAAAAAAATCTGATAGCTTGGTCTTTAAGAGTCAGTAAGAGAGGTTGTAGGCCTGGCTGGACAGAAGCTAGTGTCTTAGAGCCAAGCCAGAGGTATCCTCGCAGACAGTCTTATACTTCATTTCCAGAGTAACTGGCTCAAATCCTTCTCATATTAATTTCCTAATTTCCTCCTGGTTACAAGCTTTCCCATCTCGTTGAGTATATTCTCTTCCTTTACAATGCCAAATGCCATATACATACTTGAACATAATTAGCAAAGCTCCATTAGCTGCTGAGGAAAAGATAAAGATGCTCTACCTTTCAGTTTTCTAGCGTTGCTGTGTCCTTTCAGTCCCTAAATAAATCTTACTCATTCTTGAGCTCCCAGATCTCCCTACTTGTGCTACGTGCCTGTTCTCCTCTCTCGGCAACCCACAGCCATTCAGATACTGCTCTACCACATTCTCTGTATGCTGTGGATGAAGTTAAAACACTTTAGAACCCAAAGGAATAAAGCAAAGTAGAATACAATCGTGATAGTTAATATTACTTAAATATGCTTTATTGCTTTTTACCATCCTGAAATTTATGCTTATACTGACAAAAACTAAGAGATTTACTAGATGTCATAAGAAGGCATCTAATTATATAGCTAAGACTCCCAAAATGCTTGCTCAACACCACTTTTCCGCTTTTAGAGTCCTGCCGACCTAAGGAAGATGGGCTAGGTGCATTCTCCTTCTGTCTCACGACTCACCCTGCGCGACACAGACCCCTTCTCCACCTCACCACATTCTACTAATTCTCAACTTTTTCTGGGGCTCAGGAAGCTTCTAAGCATTGTTCGGGTACCAGCCAAGAATCTCCCGGGCCTTGGTGGCCATACATCAATCGTCAGCAGATCGGGACACTGGCAAGCCTGAGTGGGGGATCGGAGGGGGACAGATTTGGAACTTCCAAGAAGGCACCCCAACAATCCCGCAGCGCCGCAGTCTCCCCACTGGAGGGTCGAATTCGAGAGAAAGGGCGTTGGATGGGACTGGGGCACTCCATCTGGGGACACCGAGCACATCGTCCCTCCCCAAAGAGCGGCGATTCCCCGGCGACTGCAGGCGGGAGCGGGGGCGCGGGGTCGGCCGGGAGGCGAGGGATGGGCGGCGGGCCGAGGTGGGCGCGCGGCCGGGGAGGAAGGGTCCGGCCGAGGGAGGAGCGGGCAGGAAGGAACCCAGCGAGAGCGAGAGAAAGGACGGGACGGGGTCGGGCCTCGGCCAGGAGCAGC